GAGTTTTGATCCCTAACTTCCCAATCCAGTATTAGCTCTTTGGAATGCTTTTCTTTCCCCAACATTCCATCCAGCTTACGTTTTCTACGGAAGAGTTGGTCCTAAGGACCTAGGCCACCATTACCGGAATTGCAACCCTTCACTCAAAGCTTGCAGGTCCTCCCAGCACAGATCTCTCCTGCCCCAGGGGGAGGGAAGGGAGCAGAAGGGAAGAATGACAAAGGAGAGGTTGGTGTCTGTTTTTATGACTTTGTTTCCGGGAGGGAAGTAGACACTTACGCTTCCTCAGGAAAGGCTACACTTTTCAGAGGGAAGGGGTTATGGTTACCTGGAGTTTCTCCACTTACCTAAGGTCACATGCTCAACTTATCCCCTTTTTGTCCAGTGGGCCTGGCGATAGGAGATGGCAGTGCCCAGCCACTGGGCAGAGTGACAAGAGAGGGGATGGGCTGACCTGAGGTGTTCTGCTATGGGGCACGAGGGGCAGCCTGGCGCCCGCAGCAGGACGCCCGCCGGGCTTCTAGAAGCGCTCGGGCCAGCGGGAAGCGAACACGATGCGCCGCGCACGAGCCTACGCAGACCGGAAGTCGGCGTGCCGGCCGCCAGAATTTCAAGCCTCTTCCAAGAACGCCTTCCTCAGCGGCGGAACACGTCAGACCGGAAGCGAGGGTGCTCCCCGCCAAGGCTTTCGGGAAATGTAGTCTTCAGCTGCGCGGGTCCGGTACCTGGAGGACAGCGCTTCTACCCTGGCACTCGCTCGTCAAGTGTTTGGGGGAAGCAAGCGGACTTCCTTTGACACGTCTTTAAAGGGCACACCCAGATCTTCCTGTTAATTCTAAATTTGATGGTACAAACCTTTTCAACCTTGGTGTTGTCACCTGCCACACTGTCAAATCTCCCTTTAGGATCCTTTAACCGGAGAGAAAGCAATTTTATGCTTTCTTATGATTGTTAGTTCAGCCCATTTCTAAAGTCCAAACTCATATCCTATTCTCCCCCGCCCTCCCCAATCCTCATTCGAGGATATTTACCCCATTGATTTTTATTTTATTATTTAAAAAAAAAAAAAAAAAAAATATATATATATATATATATATATATATATATATATATATATAATTTTTTTTTTTTTTTGTGAAATAGGGCAGCCGGGTACATTTGCATTTTTAAGATGAGTAAGAATTAAGTAGTTTAGCAGCTATAAAGAACTGAACACGACCACCATCAATATGCATACAAACTGCAGACATGTTTTTCTTCTCTTTCCATATATTATAGGAAGAGGTGTGTTAGGTGCTCTGGGGGAGAGGCCTACCCTGGGACCTTCCCCAGGATTGGGAGGCTGGTTTTCCTTTTGGATCCTGTTTGCAATGTTGAGATGATTACTCTTGGGCTATCTTATCTAGTTTATTCTTATATGAATCTCACACCATCTGGTTATACTAACCGCTACAAGCTGACCTAACAACCTCACTTTGGATATTTTATCTCATTCTCATTCTGGATATGTTAAAAAATTAACATAAAAGATTCTGTAAAAAAAAAAAAAAAAAGTGGGAGTGCTTAAAAACATAAAAATACTCAATGTCATTATAAAATTGTCACAATAGGGGACTTAAGGAAATTGAGATTATGTAGCACCATAGAAAATATGTAAGCTCTTCTTTAAGTATAATAAATTATTTTTATCTACAGTATAGGCTGAATTGAAATGATACATTAAGGTATGAGGGATATGAGTGAATTTAGGGAATTTGATTTACTGAGTCAGGAAAAAATTCCAACGCTCTTCACCATTTTGTCTCCTCTTGATCTCTGACCTATCACCATATCCTTCTATCCACTCACCCCCAAATGACACTGCACTATATACAGCTGCTTGAACCCAACATGCCCCTGGAGACAACAGTTAGTGATTAAGAGCTATGCCTATACAGCCAGTCCTGAGTCAGAAGCCTAAATCTGCTATAGACAGTACTACCTGGGGTGAGTTATTTTACCTCTGGGCCCCATCCCCTTCCCACCATTAGAACACAAGGACATAATACATATGTATTAGATTTCTTTAATGCAAGAAACTATGAATAGCCCTAGCTGGTTTGGCTCAGTGGATAGAGCATCAGCCTGCAGACTGAAGGGTCCCTGGTTTGATTCCGGTCAATAGCACATGCCCGGGTTGTGGGCTCAATCCCCAACAGGGGACATGCAGGAGGCAGCTGACCAAAGATTCTCTCTCATCATTGTTGTTTCTCTCTCTCTCTCTGAAACCAATATGTTAAAAAAAGAAAAAAGAAAGAAAGAAAAAAAAAAGAAACGGAGTCTAACAGATTAGCCTTTAGTCAAAAAGAGAGAATCACTGGACTGATAGTGGGGAGTCCACTGAATCCTACAAAGTGCTTCAGAAATTGAGCCAGATCCAAATACTTCAGGGATTAGTAACGAGAACACTATTATGTCAGTGGCACCCTCTCCCACAAGAGACCTCCCCTCTCTGGTAGGAAATCAGGCTCCAGGCAGCTCTAGCTTTCACCTTCCTAGCCTAAAAAGCCAAAATCAAAATTCCCCTGCTAACTGTTTTGAAAAAATCCTGGAAAAGGACTCCAATATTGGCTCAACTAGACACATGCTTTCCCCTAAAACTATCCCATACTCCACACATGTCCTGATTTGTATTCCTGTGATCAGTACAGCAGGGATTATTACAAGAAAAGAGGGGAAAAGCTGGACAGATAGACAATAGTTACCACAAGACCTAGAATGGGAAGTTGTAAGAATTAACTGAAATGATGGCTATAAAGTACTTGGCACAATGTCTTTCAAGTAGTAAGCATTCAATAAATGGTAGCTGTTATTAACTCACCGGGCTGTGAAGGGTTTAGCAGTTAATCCCTCCTCCTTGATATGCTACTCTTTTCTTAGTCAACTTCTGAAAACTGAAATAGACAAACTGACTCCCATTCAACTAAGAAGGCTATTTATTGAAAGGACACAATGATGTTACAAGGATGCATTTCATGTGGCCTAGAAAGCTAGGTGGTCATAAGAGCATGGTGCAAAGATGCTGGGACCATGGAATCCTCTGCTCTGTTAGCCACTCATATATCCTAGGCTCCCTCCCTGTCAATGAAGATGTGCTGAGATTCAGATATTGGTTTGATCTAGGCCAGGCTCCATACACAAACCAGTGGTCTCCTTTGGGTCTATTAGACCCAAAGTCTTTATAACCTTCTTAACAGTAGGGTAGCACTCACTTGGTTATTCATGCCATTCTTACACGTAGTCCACTATGGGGATCCCCAAACAATCAGCAGCAAAATGAGTTCCTGTTAGGCACCTTGGGGGAAGGTTTGAGTATAATTACATATTGTCAAACTATGTATCAGACAATACAAGCTTGATTTTGGCATTGTGTGTGCACTCAGCATGGAATACCATAAATAAACCATGTTTTGAATGATTAATGTCTTAGAAGGGCAGATCAGCTAGGGAATATCCCATCTTGCTCCGTATGTGATAGACAATGGGCTAGACATGCCATATTTCAACCCCCAGGCACGTTTTCCTGCAAAGAACTATGAAGAATGTTTGGGAGCTGCCTTGTATTATTCAGGATGAGATAAGGAGATGGATCCTATTACTTGGCATGCAAGAAAGTCAGAAGGAAAGATTTCACCATCAACACCACTCATATCACTCCTCCCAGTGATTCATCCAGGTGGGAAAATTGGCTTATCTTGGGATGCTCTTGTATGAAAGGAGTCAATGTCCACAATTGATCCTAAATTTATCTGCATTGTTAGTGCCAATGAACCAACAAAGCTTCTTGAAATTCCTTTAGGATAGCCTATGAATTCCCCTACGGGACACTAAGGATTTGAGTGGGATACTGAAACATAGCTCTCAGGCTTTACTGATGGAAAAACGCCACAAGCTTAAAAAAGTTATTTTTATGGTGAAATATTTCCTTGGCACATGTGTTAAAGGCAAATTTTATGGCAAGAGGTACCTGAATTTATACTTGTCCACAAATTAATTTAGAGGAAAATTCTTGTCTTAGTTTTGTGTTGTTTTCTCATTGATCCAATATAGGAAGCTTGGGGCAGTGCAGAGTAGAGGACGTAGTTTTATAAAACTGAAATGTTAGTTGAAAGTATAATTATGATACTTGGGAAATCGAAAAGTCACCAGTAGTTCAACCATTTAGTTTCTGTTAACATTTTGGTTTTAAGTTTCTACCAAGTTGCTTTAAATAAGTTTGTGACAAATTTAAACATATCTTGCTGCCTCTTATGCTTTTATGAATTCTTAAGTGCTCATTAAATGTCTGTGTATCTGACTTAAAATTTATTTAAAAGCCCTCTGAATTCCAAATTAACTTTTCAGTGTCAAGACTCTGGGGCCAAAGAGCCAGGAGACCTGCATCCTACACCAGTTTTACCATCATAAGCTGCAGCATTCTGTGCAAACTATTTCACATCTTTGGTTTTCAGTTTCTTCATCTGTACAATGAAGTAGCTGGACAGCTAATTCTTTGAATGATGAATTTCTGGAGGTGGAATTGGTTTTCATGGTGCATTCAATATAAGAACTGCAATTGAATGTAGTTGTCAAGCAATTTTTAAATTGAGTTTTGGTCATTAATGCAGGAATTTTATCTATAAAAAAGGCTGTAAACAGTAACAGTTGCAAGTCAAATTGTTGAAAGTTTGTAATCTCCTGCACACATGTTAAAAAGTTTTATAAAGTTCAATATATAAACATAGCATCTTCAACAGGTTATGTATTATGTTTGTAGTTATTTTTATAAAAGTTCATAACCAGATCTAAGAATGTGTCTTTTATTTATTGAAAAAATTGTCTACTAGCAAAGTTTTCTCTGAACACAACGTAACATACACATGATTCGTGACATTCTCAAATTTTTTATCCAGCAAGAATCCTTTGACTCTGAGTAATATTTTAGCTAAAGCTTTCTGCACATTTAAAAAATTCCAAGGTTCTTAGAGTTTATTTCGCATATGAATTCTCTGGTGTTTAGTGAGAGCTGAGCTTCGACTGAAGTTTTTCCCACACTCTTTACAAGTATAGGGTTTTTCTCCAGTATGAATTCTCTGATGATCATGCAGATTGGTTTTCTTTCGGAAGGCTCGCCCACATTCATTACATTCATAGGGTTTTTCTCCAGTATGAGTTCTCTCATGTTGAATGAGGGATGAACTCTGACTGAAGGCTTTCCCACAGTCAATACATTCATAGGGTTTCTCTCCTGTGTGGGTTCTCTCATGTTGAGTAAGTGATGAGCGCCGACTGAAGGCTTCTCCACATTCATTACATTCATAGGGTTTTTCTCCAGTATGAATTCTGTGATGTTCTATGAAACTTGTACTCCTTTTGAAAGCTTTCCCACATACATTACACTGATAGGGTTTCTCTCCAGGATGAGAAATAGATTGTTGACTGAAGGTCTGCTCACAATCATAGGGGCTCTCTCCAGCATGGATCTTCTGATGGTCAGAAAAGTCTGTAAAGTGACTAAAGTCTTCCCCACAGTCATTACAATGGTAAGATTTCACTTCAGTCAGAGTGCTTTCATCTTGAGTAAGAGATGAGCTGTGCTTGAAGTCTATGCCGTAGTTATTGCTTTGGTAAGGTTTCCCTCTCTTATGAATCCTCATATGTTTATAAAGGGATGGGCTCTGACCAAAAGCCCTCCCACATATGCTACATTCAAAAGGTTTCTCTCCAGTATGAGTCCTCTCATGCTGGACAAGGGAAGAACATCGACTAAAGGCTTTCCCACATTCCTTACATTGAAAGGGTTTCTCTCCACTATGTGTGACCTCATGCTGAGTGAGGGATGTGCCATGCCTAAAAGACCTTCCACATAAGTTACATCGATACGGTTTCTCTCCAGTGTGAATTCTCTGGTGTTGAACCAAGGAGGAGCTGCGCTGAAAGGCTTTCCCACAGAGACTACACTGATAGGGCTTCTCTCCGGTATGTGCATTCTCATGCTGACCAAGGGATGAACTATGCCTGAAGGCCTTCCCACACACATTACATTCAAAGGGTTTCTCCCCTGTGTGAATTCTTTGATGCTCAGTAAGCTGTGTCTTCCAGAGGAAGGTTTTTCCACAGTCCGTACATTCATGGTGTTTCTTTCCACCATAAATTCCCTGATCTGTACCATTGGGAAAAGCTCCCTCTCCTTTATGAGTTTTCTCATGTTTAGTAAGTGATGATCTATGAATAAAAGCTTTTCTACATTTATTACATTTATAAGGTTTCTTTTTTATAAGGATATTATTCTGATTAAGTAAGTCTGAATTATGTCCCAAATTGATTCCAAGCGTATCACATTCACTAGACCTTGAAGGAATGTTCAGTTGTGTCACCAGATCTGTGTTCAATCTAGAGTTTTCACCAAATTTATTATGCTCAAAGGTTTTCTCTGGTGTGATTATTTTCTTCTGGGTGGATACATCTGGCCCCAGATACCTCTTCCAGTTTTCCTGGTGCCTCTCTAACTGATTACTCACATCTTCTAACGTGGCACGTGAGAGATCATCTGTGTGAAGGGATACTTCAGATATGTTCTGCTGTAGATTTGATGATTTGGCCACAGGCCTGGTCTTCCAGTCTGAAAGAAATCCAAAGTGCAAAAGTCCCCTATTCCCTCCTGTTGAGACAAACTGCTACCGTAGGAATGAGAAAATGAGATTCAAATTATACATGACTCTGTTTTAAAATCAGCCATGTGGCTTAGGGAGAATACCCAAAATCTACAAAAGGAAGAGTGAAAAGATATGATAATACAGACTGCAGATCCAGAGTGAATGATAAGTTCAAAACTAGGAAGCCCAGCTAGGAGGCTGATTAGGGAGTAAAGAGATAAGTGATTAAGAGAGTGTTAGGCATAGATACAAAGGAAAAAGGATCACAGTCCATCTTGCAGGATCATATCTGCTCTCTATGCCTGCTGTCCATTTTATAAACAGTGGTTTCTGTGAGCTCTCAGAAATAGAGTTGTGAAGGGAGGAAGAGTCAAGGCTGTGGATATTTCCTACAAGTCTGGGCAGCTGAGAGTGAGAGCAGTAAGATGAAACAAGAAGGAGACATGGAAGTTCAATTATGTCTGAGTGAGTAAAAAAAAAGGGATCACTAAATAATGATGGGAGACTGAGGATACCGGAGGAGAAAATAATCCAGAAAGTAGGGTTATAGGACAGGAGAAATGGCATACTCAGTGTAGAACAAAGTGGTATCTTTTCCTCTAAGACCGACCAGCAGCAGGAGCACCCTACTGGAGAAGGGAGATATACAGAGGTGTCATGAGGGCTCAGCCTCCTCTGCCTTTCTGTGAGCTTTCAGAAATAGATATATTTCCTTAATATATCTATTTTATAATTTCTTTAAATGTCATCTCTGAGACTCCAGATAGTCAAACCCTGAAGTGAAAAATCTGCAGCCAGTGATCTAATAGAAATGATTCTTTGATACACTTGTAGATTAAGGGCTAGATGTCACACACTGAGAAAAATATTTCAGCCCAAGCTGGTTTGGCTCAGTGGATAGAGTGTTGGCCTGCAGACTGGAGGTCCCAGGTTTGATTCCGGTCAAAGACATATACCTTGGTTGTGGGCACGTCCCCAATGGGTGGTGTGCAAGACACAGCTGATCAATGATTCTCTCATCGATGTTTCTAACTCTCTATCCCTCTCTCTTCCTCTCTGTAAAAAATCAATAAAATATATTTTAAAAAAATATTTCAGGAGGCAAATCATTCTTGTCCTTACAACTGGGGTGTGGATTTTTTCTATTTGAGCTCTGATTCTACATTAGTCACCTTGCTTAACCAAAAAAAAATTTATTTTAATTTGCCTAATAAATTGATCTCTAAAAGCCATTAACAGTTATTGAGCTCTAGTTAATGATATGCACATGAAAAAAATGTAGGAATGAAATATACTCATCTGCAACTTACTTGGAAATACATAAAAGATAAATTGACAGCCCTAATCAGTTTGGCTCAATGGATAGAGCGTTGGCATGGGGACAAAGGGTCCCAGTTCGATTCTGGTCAAGAGCACATGCCCGGGTTATGGGCTTGATCCCCAGTGAGAGATGTGTGCATGAGACAACATATCAATGATTCTCTCTCATCATTGATGTTTCCATCTCTCTCTCCCTCTCCTTCTCTGAAATCAATAAAATAAAAAAAAACACACAACAACAACACAATTATGGATTATAAAAAAGATGGAGGGAGCAATTTTAACGGAAATTATAGTAATCTAAGCCTGGGGTTTGGTTGAAGATGACACCAGCGGAAGTTAAAGGCAGAAAAATCTAAGATAACTTCTCAAAGAAGGAAAATAACCTGGGTTGAAAGAAAAAGACTAAATTGACTATGGTGTCTGGTCTGAGAGATTAGAAATACTAAAAGGTTTCTAACAGGTCAGGGTAGAAAGGAGTGATGGGCAAGATGATTCATTCAGATTTTATACTTTAATAAGAACTGAGTGGGACTTCCGAGTGAAAGTGTTCTGTGAAAAGGAATAAATGGGTATAAGCAAGGATGATTTTTGAGTCTATAACATAAATAAAGAGCTGCAACCACCAGAAGGCAGGCACCCTTTTTGTAACAAAGAAGGGGGAGGAACCTGGAGGACAGAGTCCTTGAGGCATATTTGCTTAGAAGGAAAAGCAGGAAAAGCCAAAGACCTAAAACCAAGAAGCACATATCCAGGTGGGAGACCAGGAGAGAATGATATTCTAGGAACAGTGGAGAGAGGCAATGAATCAAATCAACATGACCATAGAATGGATGGAAGACCATGTTCCTCCCTAGGCAGGTGTAGTGAGGGAAAGAAGTCTAAAACAAGTTGTGAAGGGAGGAAGAGTCAAGGCTGTGGATATTTCCTACAAGTCTGGGCAGCTGAGAGTGAGAGCAGTAAGATGAAACAAGAAGGAGACATGGAAGTTCAATTATGTCTGAGTGAGTAAGAAAAGGGATCGCTAAATAATGATGGGAGACTGAGGATACCGGAGGAGAAAATAATCCAGAAAGTAGGGTTATAGGACAGGAGAAATGGCATACTCAGTGTAGAACAAAGTGGTATCTTTTCCTCTAAGACCGACCAGCAGCAGGAGCACCCTACTGGAGAAGGGAGATATCCAGAGGTGTCATGAGGGCTCAGCCTCCTCTGCTCTTCTGTGAGCTCCCAGGGCAGCTATCTGAAAGTGCTTCCCACTCCCTCAGCTATGCCACCACCGGCACTGATTCCTACGTGCCTGATCCTCACTCATTTACCTGGACAGACAGATCTTTGGACTTCGCCCTCTGACAGCCATGGCTCTTCTCCTTGCTCCAATTTGAAGATCACCTCTGGCTTGGAAACTTGATAACCTGCTCATGGGTAAAAACAGAAGATTGGTTTGTTTGTGCAATGGACAAAGAAGCCTCCTACAAGTCAGTAGTAGTCCTTGACCCTCATGAACGCTGAAGGAAAAGAAAATGGGCAACTTGAGGGAATTATGCAACCAAATGGCCTACTCCCAGTTCTGCAAAAGAAAGACCTTTTACCTGAAGAGCAGGCTCAGAAACCCATAAGGCTGGTCCCAAAAAGATGAACAAGCTCTGACCCTGAACACCCACACCCTGCTCACAGCCACCCAAGCTACAGTCACAGAGCTCCACAACCATAGTAACTGAGAAAGGAAAAGACCCACCAATAGGCAAGACACTGGGACGTGGTCCTTACCAAGAGAAACCAGGTTGCGGTAGTTCTCCAGCATCACATCCCTGTACAAGCGCCTCTGAGCAGGGGCCACGTGGTGCCATTCTTCCTGGGTGAAGTCCACAGCCACATCCTTGAATGTCATTGATTCCTGTAGGATCACATTCCTGCTCAAGGAATATTCATCCACACAAACAATTCTCATGGCAATACAGGGAACATACTGTAGAGTCTATTAGAAACGATGATCATACATTTAATATTCTGAGGGGACAATGTTCAGTTACATGGAATTGTTTACATACTTACATAAAGAAATCTAACATTCAGGCCAGAAAGTCATGAGGAGCAGTGTGTCCCGCAATCCTTCGCTTTTGTTGTATTTCCCTTCAAAGCCAAGCCTTTTTATACAATCAGGAAGCTCCCGGCTCATGTACCTCCTTTTGTTACAAAATCCAAATATGGTGGGAAGTAAAAAGTGGCAGTGGCAGCCCTCCTTCATCCCCATCACCAATCCTAATTTAAACCCTTGAAATAACCACTGTTAACAGTTTGGTGCATACACTTAGAGAATCCCTATTCCATGTTTCTTTGTACACAGTGTCTCTTGTTTTGTGAAATACCATAAATAGTGTTCCACAACTTATTTTTACAATTAAGTATGTAATAGTTAGGAGATCTTAGAGATCTTCCCACAGCAATACATATAACTTCACCTTAATTTTCTGACGTACTTCATAGACTCCATAGTATCGTAATATTCCCATTATCTGAAGCCAACAGCACCTATTGCATTAAGAATAAAATTCAAAACTCCCCACCACTCCCTGGGCTCTAGCCATGCTGAACTTGTTGATCATTGGATACTTCAAGTTTGCTCCCACCTGGGCCTTTATGCCGGCCACTTTCTCTCCCTCTAGAATCTCTACATGGTTGACAACTAGTTACTACTAGTCATTTCAACCTTATCTCCAGCATCACTTCCTCAGAAAAGCTGTCTCAGCACCTTCCTTTAATTTACTCTCCATCATGTTACCATGTTTCAGTTTCTTCCTGACACAGTTATCTCTCGCTGCCCAAATTCCTGCCACCTTAACTCAGGAACCAAATAGATGAAAAAGGATACCTTACTTCTAACCACTATCTGAGACTGCTTACTTGTTAGCCTGTCTGTCTCCCCCACTATGAGCTTCATGAGAACTTTATCTGTCTTCACCAGTTAATATACCTTGACTGACAGTGAATGATGACAAATACCCTGAGAATGAATAAATGAACAACGCCCTGTTAATAGATATTTGGATTATTTATAATATTTTGCTAGTGCAAACATTACTGCATTAAATACTGTTGGTGCAATTATGCTAGAACTTCTCTAGGATAGCTAGCTAGAATTGGAATTGCTAGGTCAAAGGTCTTATTCCATTCTGATCACTTTCTCCTCACCTCCCCAATGAAACAAGGGTAGCTGAGGGTCCTCCATGACTCTCAATGGTCAGTTCTGATGCTTGTGGGTTGGTTTTTGTTTGCCTTGTTAAGCCACGAGACATCTGTCACCATGCCCTATTTGAAATTTCTCCTTTGATTCTGGTTAGATTTTTATCTCAAGAAGGATACAATAAGCTATGGTAGCCGAAACCGGTTTGGCTCAGTGGATAGAGCGTCGGCCTGTGGACTGAAGGGTCCTGGGTTTGATTCCGATCAAGGGCATGTACCTTAGTTGCAGGCACATCCCCAATAGGGGGTGTGCAGGAGGCAGCTGATCGATGATTCTCTGTCATGGATGTTTCTAACTCTCTATCCCTCTCTCTTCCTCTCTGTAAAAAAAAATATCAATAAAATATATTTTAAAAAATTTAAATGTAATAATGGTTAATGAATGTGATATATATATATATATATATATATATATATATATATATATATATATATATATAGCTATGGTAAAGACAATTTCTGCCTTAGTCCATGCACTTCTCCCTATGTGCTTGGCCACAGCTGAACTGTTTTTTTTTGTTCTTGGGAAATATCATTCTCTCCCCACCCTCCCAGCAGTTTTTCCCTTGCTAATTCCACTTTACACTTCAGGTCTTGGTTAGCAGATTTTCACTGAAACCTTCTGATCCCCCACTGGAGGGCTGATCACTGTATTGTGTCCTTTACGCCCCTGGCGCACACACACAATTATCCGAATGCTTGTTTTTCTAGTTAGATGGTGAGCATTATGAGGGCAGCTACTATAAATTTGTTTCTAAACTCTGAAACACTAGTGTTCAGCAAGTGCCTGACCCATACCACACATCTGTTTCCTGAGTTCAGCCTTAAGGAGATGGCAGAAATCTGAATTTTAGAGAAATAGGAGTGGCCCCCTCTGCTTAGTGAAGAGCATGACTGCATTCATACGACCACTGGCTCCTCCACATCATATCCCTGTGGCTGTGTCCCCACAGGAATAGGGAAGGGTTGAAACGTGGCAAATTTTTCTGACCAGGTCAGGGGTCTGACTGTGCCATGTAAAATACTCTGTCACTTGTATTTACTAGATGTCTGACTTGACCACACGCACTGAATAAAAATGCCAATGAGCCCAGCTGGTGTGGCTCAGTGGTTGAGTGCTGACCTACGAACTGGGAAGGTCATGGTTTGGTTCTGGTCACAATCCCCAGTGGAAAGCGGGGGAAGGTCCTTCTCTAAAACACAAATTTGATCATGTTTACAAACCTTTAATTCCTCCCTACTTTCCCCTATTCTTACCATCCTCACCCTAGTCCATGCCACAATCATCTCTTAATGCAGTTCTCAACGACCCATAAGTTGAGAACTGCTAGTAGGGTGGACTAAGACCACTGAAAATATTTACATTACGATTCATTAACAGTAGCAAAATTACAATTATAAAGTAGCAACAAAAATAATTTTATGGTTGGGGGTCACAACATGAGGAACTGTATTAAAGGGTCACAGCATTAGAAAGGTTGAGAACCCACTGTCCTAGAGGGTCAAGACCTTGTCTCAGGCCACACTGACCACAGCAAGAAGTAAGAGTTTTAAGAGCAGAAGGGTAGATAGGCCCTTCCAGAAAGGATAACATGTGCTAATATAAAGTTATCCAGCCCACTCAGAGTAGCTCAGTTGGTTGAATGTTGTCCTGTGCACCAAAGGACATGTGTCCCCCCACCCCATCCTCCTGCCCCCCAGCTTTTGCTCTCACTAACCATGTTCTAGGCCAGTGTTTCCCAAACTTCTGACGTATGTGTCAAAATTTTCTATAATTTTCTATAATTTTCGTAACACTGAGTAACCCTCATACTCATGAGAACATAAAATTAGGCGCAGCTAAGCACGGTGCAGTGCATATCCCCACCAAACTCCAGTGCAACGCGTACCCCCACCAAACTCTTCCCGTACCCCTGGGGGTACGCATACCACACTTTGGGAAACACTGTTCTAGGTGATTAAAAAAAAAAGTAATCCAACTCTAACATACACCAATTCTGGAGGAAAAATCAGCTCAAACTATAACTCAGAAAATGGAAACTTTACTAAACTGAAAACTAGAGAATGGCAGTTAATGTGTAAAAATAATCTCATTTATAAAAACCACCACCCAAAGACTGGGTTAGTTTGCCCAATTAGAACACATTAATTTTACTGGCATAGAATAAAGTGTTTCTACTCAAGTACTCATAGACCATTGACAGTTTGGTAAGGTGTAGATCAATAGCATACCTATCAACTGGGTGTGGAGAGAAGGAAATCACTGTTAGCCTTTACACACATACACAGATGCCCTATTTAGGCTAACAGCATCACCATCTACGTGTCCCAACGGGAAATCTGGACCTCATCCTTGATTCTTCCTTTTTCCTTTATGCTCTGGAATCACCAAGAGCCTAAAAAGTGTCTCCTATATACAATCCTTCCTCTTCATTGTTCAAATCTAGCTCAAATTCTCCCATGCCAAAAATGCCATTAAGTCAGACAATAACATTCTAGATCTAAGCTAATCAGTAAACCACTAGCCACATGTGGCTACTGAGCACTTGCAATGTGGCTAGTCCAAATCAGATGTGTGGCAAGTACAAAATACACACTGGATTTCAAAGACTTTATACCAAAACAAAACAAAAAACCCCACCTCATTAATAATCTTAAAATATTGATTTACAGAGAAATGAGTATTATTTATAATAGTAAAAATTTTAGAAACAACCGAAATGTCTTATGAGGAATGGTTAAACAAATTTGGTATGTCCATGCAAAGTAATATAATACAGCCATTAAAAGTGATTTTTTTTTTTTAAAAAAAAACCTCATAAAAAACATATGAATTTTAAAATATTATAACTGGAAATGTTTAAGGGGAAAATATGCGCAAGTAGAAAAAAAGGGAAATTCATCACAACAAATAGAGATGTTAAAGAAGAGATAACATAAATGACTTTTTTTTGTTGTTGTTAAAAAAAGATCTTTGTGATATATTTAAGGTATATTTAATAAGGTATATTTTATTAAAATAAAAGTAATACAGCCCTGGCCGGGTGGTTTGGTTAATTGGAACACTGTCCCATACACTAGAGGGTGGTGGTTTGATTCCCAGCCAGGGCACATGCTTAGATTGTGGATTCGATCCCAGGTGCAGGCTTGTGTGGGAGGCAACTGATCAATGTTTCTCTCTCTCTCACTCTCGCTCTCTGTTAAAAGTCAATGGAAACATATTCTCAGGTGAGGATTAAAAAAAAAAAAGGTAGTATAAGACATAGAAAAGTCAGGAAAAGAATCATACTTTTGAAATAGGTCTTAGAGGAAGAGGTTTTGACTTACTGTTCTGGTGGCTTCAACTTTAAGAATGATAAACACCTTTCTTATTCCAAATTATAATGTAATACACATATAAGGAAGAAAATACATAGTGTTTACATATATATAGGATTTTCAGGGTATCCCCCTCACTCATCTCTGCTCCCATTTCCCTCCCACTGTGGACCACTTCAGGTATTTGCTAGCCACACCCCTAAAAGAGCTCTGACTTTCAAACTCTTGCTCCTATACTTCATTATTCACAACAATCTTTAAAAGTAATAAGAAACTATACTAGTTCCCTGCTCAAAAACATTGGCTCAAGATATACTAGGCTCTTTGCTGCTACCTGACCACACCAGACACACATCTGGGTGTTTCCGGAGAACTCCTCCCCAGACCTCCTTTAAGTCTGCTCAGATGTCACCAACAAGAATAAGCTTACATCCTATTTAAAATTGCAATCCGCCGAGACCGGTTTGGCTCAATGGATAGAGCGTGGCTTGGGGACTGGAGGGTCCCGGGTTCGATTCCGGTCAAGGGCATGTGCCTTGGTTGCAGGCATATCCCCAGTAGGGGGTGTGCAAGAGGCAGCTGATCGATGACTCTCTCTCATTGATGTTTCTAACTCTCTATTTCTCTCCCTTCCTCTCTGTACAAAATCAATAAAATATATTTAAAAATATATACCGTATATAAAATTGCAATCCTACGTACCACAAGCTCTGACATCTCCCACTCGATCCTCCTTACCTTTTCCTACTTTTAATTATTTTTCTGAGGTACCATCACCTTCTAGGATATCATATAATTTTTCTGTCTACTCCTTCTAGGATGTAAGCTCCACAAAAGCAGAGACCTTTATCAATCTTGTTCACTGATGTATCCTAGCCACGTAGAAAGTGTCTTAATACATCACAGGGTTCAATGATTTTCTGCTGAATGAGTACATACAGGAATAAATGGGTTACAAAGGCCAAAATAAAAAAGTCCAAACTCCTTTCTATTCTCATCTAACCATTGCCTACAGGTACACCCACAGTCTCACAGGACAACGGTTTCATGAAAATGTCCCTCGTCGTTTTGCCTCCCAACTCCCCTGACCCACAATCAACCAGCTCTACCCTCATCCCCTTCAATTTCACCCGCTTTATGCTCTATGCAAAGGCGTCCCTGATGACTTTCCCAGAGGCAGTTTCCGCTTCCCCCTCTGCACTCACAGCAGCCTCTGGACCTCTGCAACAATGCTTGGCACCATCTCTTCTGAGCTCTACTTCTGCAGGAGCTGTCTCCCCCACTAGTTAATTTCCTGGGTAAGTTGTCACATGACTCAATAACTCATCTTTTGCATTCCCAAGGGCTATGCTCAGGGAAAGGGAACCACCGATGAAGGGAAATTTCTGCCTAAAAAGTCCCTGTTGTAGGTTCACTGCTCTATTCTGTCCTTCAGCCCGAGTTTGGTGGACTATCGGGCCATTCTATGAGAATAGTACAACTGAACCAGAGTGCTTGGGAAACATAACTTTAAAAATGAAGCTTAAAGCAGTCCCTAAAACTCACTGCTCAGAACACAAACCCACTTTCACTATTAAAAAGCCTCCCCTCCCCTGCTCCCCGCAAAAAAAAAAAACAAAAAACAAAACAAAAACAAAACAAACAAACAAAAAAAAACCATAAATAAAAAAGCAACCCAGCACAGCAGTATGGCTCAGTGGCTGAGCATCCACTTATGAACCAGGAAGTCATGGATGGATTCCTGGACAGGGCTCATGCCTGGATTGCAGGCTCAATTCCCAGTACAGGGCGTGCAGGAGGCAGCTTATCAATGATTCTCTGTCATCATTGATGTTTTTCTCTCTCTCACTCTCCCTTCCTCTCCGAACTAAAAAAAAAAAAAAAAAGTATCTGGATCCATCTTGCCTCATACACATAACAATTAGAATATGATTTTTCTAAAGAGAGTGTGGATTAAATACCATCTGGACCTTGTTATATTTCACCCACACACTCTATGTAAATCCAATGGACAACCTCAGAGTTGTGATGCTTCTATAAAATGCCTTCTCCCTCACAAGTCAGCTTCATACTAACTACACCGAAGGCTGGGCATCTAGGGATGTGCACTATTCTATCTGTTAGAGCGGGAAAAGACACGGAGAGCTCTGGGATGCGTCCTCCTTGTATCCCCCCAGCTTCACTCCTTGCCCAAGAAAGCCCATCTCCAGCCTCTTCCTCGGCAAATCCAGACCAGCCTTCCTTGGTCAGAAGCTTGGCTCCTCTCTCCTACACTCACTGACACTCACTTCCTCCGGGACAGTGTCCTATTCTCCAATCCTGTCACCCCTCCCTCCTCTCCTCCCTTCCATTCCTTATTGACAAGAGTTCAAGGAATTGGCTTGGCACTCAGGAATCTCAACACTGACACCTCCCAACACATCCACTCAACTCCTCCCGGAAGTCGGCCCTAGTCCCCTCCACCCCCAATACAGTTCTCCACCCCCCCAGCTCTGGACACCTCGGGTCTCACAGGGGCGGGAGGTTCCGAGGGGGCGATCGAGCCAGGACACGTAGTCCTCCCAAGGAGAACAATGACTGCTCCAAACACTCCCGGGGTGGGAAAGTCCGTGCAGCTCACCTGGGGCGCCTCCGCCGGAGGCCTCGGGGCCATCCTCGCCTCGCCGGCCCGGTTCCCAGACGGAGAGCCTGGGGAGAGAGGAGAAAGGGCCCACTCACCCCGCGGCCCCCACGGCCCCCCGCCCCGTCCCGCGGGGCCCGCCTCCGCCCCGCAGACACTTCTCCCGGGAGAGGGGCGGGGAGGTGCCGGGGCCCCGCGGGGTCCTGCAGCACCCTCTCCCCGAAATGAAACGCTTACGGAATCGAGGACACCCTCCTCCGGCCACGCCCAGTCCCGCCCGCAGGACGGTGGGCGCGGCCCCGCGGACAAGCGCCAAACTCGTGGGAGGTGCCGCCCCGACCCGCACACTCGCAATCACTGCCTCCTGGAGTTTCCGGGGTTTGGGACCCCAGGCCCACCCGAGGTTTGGGCCGGCTCCTCTCGCCACTCCCCTCCCCAGGTTCAGTCCTCTCCAATTCTTCTGTGCGGAGGTGAGGCCCGCAGCCTCCTTAGCCCTAGCCCCGGGGCTGGACAATGGCCGCAGCGCCGGGGCCGAGCAGGAAGTGCGCCTGCGCACACGGAGTCTCGCTCCCGTAACCCAGGGGTCCGGCGAGCGCGCGGACTACACTTCCCAGAGGCCCCCGCGCGCGGCACCTCGGAGGCCGCTGGGGAGCAAGTCGCACACCTTTCTGGGCGCAGCGGCGGGGCGTGCGCTGTGAGGGCCTAGAGGGACGGATCTGGGATTGAATACTGTAATGTCCACTTCTTCCAAAAAGTCACAGCGCTCCTCGTGGGCCTGGGCATGCATGTTGGTAGGGGCGGGATACAGCAGTATATCGGACAGAAAAGACCCGGCGTGGGGGGAGCGGCTTGCATTCCTATGGAAGAGGGCAATACGTAAACAGATCAACAAAATAATTTCAGAGAGAGAAATATCAATTGGTTGTTTCACTTATTTCTACATTCATAGGTTGATTTTTTTTAAAAAATACATTTTATTGATTTTTTTAGCGAGAGGAATGGAGATAGAGAGCTAGAAACATCCATGAGAGAGAAACATCGACCAGCTGCCTCTTGCACACTCCCTACCGGGGATGTGCCCGCAACCAATATACATGCCCTTGTCGGGAATTGAACCTGGGACCTTTCAGTCCGCAGACCGACGCTCTACCACTGAGCCAAACCGGTTTCGACCATCGGTTGATTCTTGTATGTGCCCTGACGGGGGATTGGACCTACAATCTTGGTATATCAGGACTACACTCTAACCAACTGAAATGCCCAAGTGTGGACTTTGAGTGTGCTGGGAGCCACTGGGTTAGCAGCAGCAATTGAATCACTAACTTAACGAGGGGAGAAACCAAATGAATCACTTACTACTACGAGGGGAGAAACTTTCCCTGTCGTCCCAGAATTGGTAACCAGGACTCCGGGCTGAGATTAAATTATTCTACATTCTAAAGAGAGAGAAAACATTTGGGGATAGATACTCCCAGATCTTACAAACAGGGGTTAGGTGCTGAATTTGCCCTGCTACTGTTATGAATCATGGCCCAACACCATCCCTTTACCCCAGTAAAGAGATTAGAATGGGAGAAAGAAAAGGAAGAATTTCCTCAGAATAGCAAGGCCTCCACCTAGTGGGGAGTGTGATGTTCTGCCCACCTTCAAGATGAATGTAAGAAAGCAAGCCACTCAAACATTGACAGCACCCAGAGAAGAGGTGGGTTTATATACTACCCAATGCTTCCCCAAGCAAGAGTAAGGGGGGTTAGAGGACAGGCTGAGTGTAAGGAGAGCAGCGTGGATTTTCATTGTTTGTGTAGTAAGTGGATAAACTGAAAAGTAATTGAGCTTTAACGAGCTGGCCCCTAGGTGGGGATGGGGGCAGCTCCGAACTGTAAGAAGTTTTGAAATTAACTGGGGGAGGTGGAAGTGGAGCTAGATCCCCAGTCAGGTATGTTGGTTTCCTCTAAGGAACTCACAAATGCACTTCTGTTTCCACCAGCGGGGCTAAGCAACTTTAATGGTGGATGAAATTGTTTTTTTTTAAATCTCTTAAAAAGCATCGGTGAGCTGGAAAATTCATAAGGCATGCACCGAGGCCAAAAATTAAGCAAAAATAACTTAGAGAGGTAGATGAAATCTGAGAGCTAGTTTTCACCTGGGAATCATTTGCCAAAGAGCTTTGTTTTTCATGGTCCTTTAGGCATAGCCACCAGGTAAAACTCAAGTGCCATATGCACATATATCCATACAAATTGGGATTTTAAGATCTGTCTGATGTGGCTCAGTTGGTTGGACCATTGTCCCATGTACAAAAAGGTGGCAGGTTCAATACCTGGTCAGGATATATACCCAGATGGTAGGTTCGATTCCTGGTCATGGCACATGCGGGAGGCAAGCAATCGATATTTCTATCTCACATTGATGTGTGTGTGTGTTTTTTTCTCTCTCTTCTCTCTCCTATTTCTAAAATCAATAAGAAAAAAAATTTTAAATTGGTACTCCAAGGGTGAATACAGGTAAATTGCCTGTTTCAAACCTTGGAACCGGAGAATTTAAGTATAAGCTGGTCCCTATGTGGGTTTGCAGCCTGAATTCACAGTCCCTAGGTCCTCTAAAAAGCTGCAAACTGAGAATTTATATATTGGTCCCAGCTAACAGTGCTTCCAGGAATCTGGCAGAGGTAAACACACACCCTGCCTAGAGAAACTGGCCTTCAGCCCAGGCTTCCCCAAACACGATACCAAGAAATAGGAGCTCAGAGACTTGAATTGCAAAACACATATAGGAAACAAGGACCCATGAATGACAGACAGCAGAAAAATAGCAGAAGCAGATTCATATAAGTCTCTAATATAGAGAGATTGGCAGGGGCCTCCAGGTGCCCGAGTGGTGCCCCAAAACCTCTTCACACGCTGGGTCCTTTGTCCTGGCCTAGGCCTTTGGTTGAAACTGATGGCTGCCGACTTGGTGGCATCCGGGTCGCCATGCTTGGGGCGTTCTCCGGACCTACCTGCCTTTTCTAGGGATAACAGAGCGGCATGGTCCTCGGTTACCATGGCGACCCGCCAGCTAGCTTAACCTCTGTTGCCCTCTAGTGGACACCCAGGACACCTGCAAATCCATCAGTTCCCTTGAGGGGCGTGTGTTCCTCTTGGCGGCTCTGTCCAGAGAGAGGTGATAGATAGCCTGTGAACTGGTCCGCTGTACAGCTAGACCCTGTCCTGAACCTTGGCTTCAGCAAGTCCGCTCCCCACCTTGCCTCTTTAACCATCTGGCTTCTCTGCCCTGGGGCCAGGCTTCTTTGTCTTTGTCACCTAGACACAATAGCCCTAACCACCCACCCCTTCATATTAAGCTCCTGGGGACATAAGAAAGGCTTTTATCCAGGTACTTCCACAGTCCCTTAAAGACTGCAAAATCTGCTGTGATGTAAACAAAAATACCCTTCCCTTAGCCAGACCCTCTCTTCACCCCCGCCTCCTAAGCAGCCCTAGATTCAGACCTCAGCTTTTGGAGCTACTTCTCCATTTGGACCTTGTCCAGCCTTAGGATGAGATTCCATAAGCAGGACAGCCTGGCCAGAATCCAGTAGGCATGAGGATGGTGGTGGTGGTGGTGGTGGTGGTGGGCATCACCAGAGCTGGACATGGCAGCCTAGGTGGGAGCTGGGCACACCTACAGACAAGCTGACCCTTGGGGGTGGAGATGAGCAGTGACAAGGTTGTCGGCACAGGATGTTTTAGGAGCATGTGTGGGAAAGACCCACTACAGCCTGGGCCAGAAAGGATGGCTCCGTGGGGAAAGTGATGCTGAACTGAGCTCTAAGGATGAATGGGCATCTCTAGCTGGAATAGAGATTTCAGTGGTGGTGAGCTTTGGGTGGGCTAACAGGTCTTCTCTTCAGTTTACCTTCCTGAGGGATTATTTCTCATCAGTGGTCCACTGATGCTGCATCTCTTTCCCGCCCTTTTCCTCTTCTAATCCTGTCCCCCTCTCCTAGGCAATCTCCTCCAGCCTCGTGATTGTCACCAGCACCCCTTTGCTACATGTGACCCATTGTACCATGTCACATGTAGTCTCTTCTGCCTGGACTGCTTTTGACTTGCTTGCCTACCTAGTGAACTCTTATTTCATCTTTCAAAACCCAGCTTAACGTTTACTCCTTTCTGGTGCCTTCTCAGAACCACCCTTCCAACCATGCATGTTCATTCCGCAAACTTCTATTGAGCACCAAGTGTGAGGTCCAGAATGTGGCCCTACATTGTAACTTTCTATTCACTTAACTGTCTCCCCAGTGGACCAGGATCTCCTGGGGGCAGGAACAGGTAGGGCTGAGCCATTGGTTTTCTTAATCCTCAGGCTTTACCATTCACTCCCTGGATGAATGAATGGCTGGCTGAATGAATATAAGAACAGCTCCTTGTTGTAAAACAACAAACAAGAAATACCTGAATCAACAGCGCTGGCCCTCCCTGGTTCCCATTTCGGTCCCCAAACACTGTCCCAAAAGAACTCGGCCATATGTTATTCAATTAAAGCGAATTAAAATTTGCTTGAAATAACCACACACTCCCCCGCTTCCCTGAGCCTGTAATGACCAGATTACATCTCCTCCAGGCTCAGAAGTTTGACATTTCCTTGCACAGTCATTTTCTTCCCATTTCCTTATGTTGCTAAAATATTCTATTTCTCTTCACGTTCCCTTTGTGTCCCCATTACTCATGTTTAGTTAAATTTGTCTGCTGTCCTTTAATCATCTGAGATAGGCCTTGCCAGTGTGGACATTTTCCTAGGGTGCTGCCTGGCCTTCCAGACTACCTGTCTCCTCCTGGACCACCTGAGAACAGGACCCAGATCCCTCCCCCAGGGCTTCTGGCCTGGCCCTCGGACCCTAGGTTTCTCTCCAGTTCAGCTTTGACTCAGGTCCTCCCTCCCCTTACACCCACTGACTTCCACTCTTCTGCCTTATCCTCTTCCGGTTCCTGGGGCGAGGTTTTCATTCTGCTTTCAGGCCTGGCACTACCTGAAACGCTTTTGGTCACAGT